GGTAAGTAAACTGTGTACACTTTTAACAGAACCATATTTAAAAATCTTAAAACATTTTCTTTATTTCTGTAAATCAAGAGTTTTTAAAAAGGTGTGCGCATAGATAAAATGTAAAAATTATGCCATTTTGAAAAGGTGATGAGCCAGAATATTCCTGCATTTGTTTCTTCCATCCATCCATCCATCCATCCATCCATCCATCCATCCATCCATCCATCCATCCATCGCCACTTATCCATCAGTGTGACGGCGGGCTGGTGCTCCAGTAGTCTATGGGCAAAATGCAGGGTACACCACCACCAAGTCACCAATCCATCACAGGCCTACACAGACATGCCACCATGGAGTCACACAATCTTGTCTCTCTTTGTGGAACCTTTTCATTTACTTGCATTAATTTCTAACCCATTTCTACAGCCTTACCCTTACCCTAAACTTAACCATTAAGGGTTCATTCTCAACCTTAACACCAAAATAAACATATTTTACACCTTAAACCTGGAAATGACCCCTGACCCCAACAGGAAATACACTCATGTGGTCAAGGCATCAGGCCCCGCAAGGAGCAGTTGGTGCCTTTAATGCCCTTCTTGTTTTTTTTTTAGAAAATGGGCCCCACAATGTATCAAATGCAATAAAATCTACACTAATTTAGAGATGCCAATCAACTCAATGGACTCATTTTTGGACTGTGGCAGGGTACCCAGAGAGAACCCACACTTTTATGGGCGATGCAAACATTCCATTCCATTCCATTTTCTTCCTCTTTATCTGGGGCTGGGTCATGGAGGCAGCAGTCTAAGCAGTAATGCCCAGACTTCCCGATGAGGCGACACCAGGCCAGCTCATAGACATAGTCCCTCCAACGTGTGCTGGGCCTTCCATGAGGCCTCCTCCCGGAACATTTCCTGAGGGAGGCGACCAGGAGGCATCAGATACCTTTCGACGTGAAGGAGCAATGACTCTACTCCGAGGTCCTCACGGGTAACTGAGCTCCTCACCCAATCTCGAAGGTTGCGCCAAGCCACCTTGAGAAGGAAACTCATTTCGGCCTCCTGTATTCGCGATCTTGCCCTTTCGGTTATTACTCAGGTCTCATGACCATAGGTGAGGTTGGGAACGTAGCTCGATTAGTAAATTGAGGTCTTTGCCCCCCGACTCAGCTCCCTCTTGACTGCAGACGCCACAACAATCAGTCTATTGATCTCACACTCCATCTGTCCCTCACTTGTGAACAAGACCCCAAGATACTTGATTGGTTGTGCATGTGCGTTGTTTTTTTTTTTTAAGTGGAGAAGGCGGGTCTTTTCAAGAATTCGTGAAAATCCTCCACAAAACCTTTAAAATCATATCTGGTTGCCAAACATCTTTTAACAGAGTTAGCTCTGGTGTTTAAGGGGAACTCAGACTGCTGTAAAGCTTTACTCTATGTCCCATGACTTATTTGGCGACAGATCCAATCCTCTCAACTTACAGTGGTGAGTCCTTATCCAGATCCAAAGGTACTTGAAATTTTAATCTCAATCACTCATTGTATTAAGTCTGTAGAAATAAAAGTAACCAGAACATTTTTAACAGTTTAAGAGAATTCCGAACAAAAAGGCTGAAACTAAAAGACCTACATGGAATTTATTTCTTATACCTTCAATCATCCAAGGTATGCATCATATTACCTAGGTGAAGAGACATGTGAAGCTGCTGAGTTAAGATTTTTTTTTTTTTTTTTATATATATATATAGTCTATTTTACCAGGAATCTGAGTCATAAATCTTTTGTGTTTTCATAGAATGCTTTACGGCTCAGAGGTGATCACAGGTGTTCATTCTTCCAATCTTATCTGGTGGATTACCAGCTGCCATCGCTTGATAATCGCTGGCAGCCACCAGGTCTTTCATCCCAACACCCATCCTAACTCTGAACAGACAGGCAATGATGCACAGATACTAGAGTAGGGTACAAAATCCGCAGTTTAAATCCAGACAGTCTTGGGCTAAGTTTAAAAAATACAGTTAGTAAAAAAATAAAACAGAAATATAAACATAAAATGATTAAAATACACAGGAAAGGTTTCAGTGTGATATAAATGAGCTAAAAGAAAAGTCAAAGCAGTCACACTAAGAGCTTGACAAAAGCAGAGGAATATGAGCATACACTTGTTTGATTTTTACATGCAGCATTGCTGCTGTCGTTATTATTCATATCCCTCCCCAGGGAGGCTTGTATGAAAAATGGGACTGTATCAGCCCCCACCCTGTATGTCACCATCTCACTCTTCCTCTCTCTCTCTCTCTAACACACACACTTGTTTTGGAGTCTTGTTGAGGAAGTAAAGCCAGGCTGCTCCTCCCCTCCTTCCCTCTTCTTGCTGGTTTACCCCCCTCCTCATTTTTTTTCCCCTCTTCCTTCACTTTTTCTCCCCAACAAAGAGTGATCCAGCTCGTCTCCTTTCCGTCACGCGGGTAATCAGCCTCTGCTATTTCATTTGGCTCAGTAATGAAAGCAATCCCAGTGCTTTTCACAGCAGCGCAGCCCAAATAATGAGCGCTGCCTTCCCCTCCTCTCCCCTCCTTCTCAGCCACACCTCACCCCCCATCCTCACCCTCTTCCTCCCAACCCTGCTGTTAATGGATGAAGAAAAGCAAATGTGACTGTGTGTGTGTGTGTGTGCACGGGTATGTGAAGCACGCAATCCTTCCAAGTCCTTTGTGCCTATTTTTCCCCTCACTGGGCTGTAAAGGAGTATTGTATAAAATCTGATCAACAAAGCTCTTAAACAATTTGAAAAATGTTTCCCTTTTTAAATGAATCCAGCAGTTAAATTTCCAGCCTATATTACATGTGACCTGATTATAGCTCTCTCTGCTGTAACCATTCAGACTGCATGTCTGTAAAATAACTTTGTTTTCCTAACGAGATAATACCGTGCTTCATGTTGCATATAGTGAATTTAAATCACACAATCTGATTTTCCTTCAGGCTGTATGAGTTAATTTTATCAATATTTTAGTTTGAATTATAAGGAACATTAAAGAGAGAAAAAGAACTGAAAAAATGATAAGCTGCTTATCAATGATTTGCAAAATATAAAATAGAAAACTATTGCTTGAATGGATCAAACTTAAGTCAAAAAAAGGCTCAGCCAGTATCAGCTGCTGGGTTATCAGAGAAATTATTAGCTGCTTGCATTCAAAAAAGTGAACCAGTGTTCTACTTTATTTCAATTTAAAATGCTGTTTGCTGGAAAAGAAATCATTGGTCTGTGCAACCTTTCCACAGTCATTAAAGCCGTAACAGGAATTGAGATGTCAATTACACAAATAGTTTCCCATTGGGACATCAAATCTCAAGTGTTATTTGGTTATTTAAAAAACAATGTCATGTTTACTAGAAAAAAATAATTTAACCCCAATAACACATTGAACTACAGCCCTGGTTCATTACATGAGTGTATATGTACTGCAGCAGTTGAACTAATCATGTAAAGTCAAACCATCAGCAATAAATCCCTTTGTTCATGAGCAATTTGAGATTGACATAAAAGAGAGACAACATTTGTGTAGTGGCATGTGAATTGATTTTTTCCCCCCCATTTTGGGTCTAAACCTGTGAACAGCTCATCAGACAACTCTTAAATATGACATTCGATCTACAGTACAAATTAAAGCACAGTGGATCAGTTACCAGGATAGAAGAACGTTTTTTATACTATGGTGCAGAGCCAGTTGTTGAGATTCCAGGAATCAAAAAGCTTGATTAAATCATAACACTTCAGGATGTCATATTGCCTTATGCTGAAGCGAAATGTGGTTCAAATATGAGTTTCTAAATATTGAGCATCAACCTGACTAACAAGATTGTTTTGAAGTAGCCAGGAATATTAACTATTGGATGACATCAAAAGCATCAGAAATGGAGTAAATTTGTGGAATGCCAGAAACTTGACTCATGTCAAAGATGTTAAGCAGATCTCAAAATATTTTATGATAAACAGTATACTGAATTTATTTTTTTTTTTTTTGCATCCTGATTGGGCTTCAAATATCCGTTGTTTATAAGGCATGAGTGATTATGGACACAAAAGTCTTTCTTTAAGAAAACTGAGCTTAAGCTATTTCTTAAACTTATAATTGTACATCGGTTTAACATCTTTGAGCAAAGCTCAAAAGGGCATCCAAAGACACACCGACTTCACAGAAAAATGTGAGCAAAGGATGCAACCCTCATAAGAAAAAAAACTGCTTATGGCTTTTGTTACACCAAAATCTCTTTTAAACCAAATAAATAAATAAAGAGCTTTAAATTAAATTTCTAAGCACATTTTTTTTTTTTTTAACTGAGTGCCTCTAAGGAGCCATCACTAGCAACACATGGGCACAGAGAGCTAGGATAATTTATAGGCGACAGGCTAAACTTCACAAGTACAGATATTTTTATGTTATCAGTCTGTGGAATTCTGACAATGTTAAAACAACCATTAACCGGCTGGTAGAAAACCAATCAATGAATGGAAAATTTGAAGATGAACCAGACAGAATACAGCTAAATCAGAGCTTGATTAAAAAGTCTCCCACACACATCACAGCATGTGTTGCATTTGGAGCTGAATGCAAACAGCCAGGGAAAAGACAGATGTGGTAAAATTCATAAAAATCTGCTCTACTGATATTGACCTTTTTAATATGAAAATGAGGCGGGCCATGTGTACAACTGGGCTGCAAAACTTTTTCCAACCAACCTCAAATAGTTTCTCAGCAATAAATTCTCATGGAGAATTAAACTATCCATTACAGGGAGCAGTAAATGGTAAATGGCATGTACTTATATAGCGCCTTTATTCAAGTTAGGAGACTTGACCAAGGCGCTTTACACTACATTCATTCACCCATTCACGCACACACACACACTGATGGTGGCAAGCTACATTGTAGCCACAGCTGCCCTGGGGCTCACTGACAGAAGCGGGGCTGCCGTACACTGGCGCCACCGGGCCCTCTGACCACCATCAGTAGACAATGCAGGTAAATAGCAAATGTCTGCCATAGAAATATATTCAACGACTACTATGTTGCAAGGGTCAACTATCGTTATTCCTCTCTGGAGTGCCTTCAGCTTATTGGCCAAGACCAAATCTCTATACCGTTAATGTATTTTTAATTGCCATCAAAATAGGTAAAAGCCTCCAACTCTAAGTTTAAGTTTTTACATAGAAATATTATGATTAATTATTTTTCCCCTTTAATTTTTGTGGTTTATAAAAATGCAACTCGCTTAAAACTATTTTTTTTTTTGTTTAATTTTACAACATAAACACCACAAACTTTCCTATTTGACACCAACGGCTTCATAACACTGCTTTGGGGAGCCAAAATGCACATTGTACATTTTTATCTTTATCTCAAAGCAAAGGAGTGTAAGCAAATATATTCTGCCGCTCAGTTGTTCTGTTACAGACAAAGCAAGAATTATCGTTCTGAAGAGGTGCTTGAATCAGCTGATGATTTTTTCTTTTTTTTAACCCCTAATTTCTAACCCAACTGTTTGGTTAAAAAAAGACTGAAGGTCACCTGATTTTATCTAACCCATCACTTCGCCTTCATTTCTTCTTTTCTTTTATCCTCCTGTTATATATTCTGGTTATGCAACTATGCATTACAAACTTCATTAGTGTGTTAAAAATCTTTTCTAATAATAAAAAACCCCAAAAATGTTTTGCATTTCGATTATGTCATTGATAGTTGTTTAAAAGAGATGTAGAGCAAGAAGACATCAATGACAACTCTTGGTTTTCTCAAATTCATAATTTTTCATACTTTGTTTCAAATGCAGATAAAACTCCACTTCAGCAGGTAAAAAAGTTACCACCATAATGTAGCAACCATGGATAAGGAAACAATGACTTCAATACAATGGTGTGCTTAATTAGTATAGAAAGAATTTTCCTTAAAACTAGTTTAACCTAAAAATACTGCAGCAAGACAGCTGACATTTAAACCCACTCCAGAAGGCAAGAATCAAGTACAGCTTACATCTAACATCCACCCGTGTGATGAGTTGGCAGACAAAAATCTGTAGGAAGTGAGAAAAGGACTGAAAACACTGCCAACATTTTTAGGTTTTTAAAGTCTGAGTAAATGCTGACTATCTTTCTCTTATAATTTTCCGTTTGGTTTGCAGTCTGATCTGATTTTAAAGTCGGTAAAAAGACAATAGAAGAAACCAAAATGATAATTTAAACAAACATAACTCTTAAAAAAAGAGCAGCCACCAAGAATTAAACTTCAGTTTTATCAAGTACCAGTACAATGCCCTTTTTAATACATCAAACATTCAACAAATAACACTGAAATGTGTCAAGTAACCCTTAAACTATACACAATAGAATGGGTTGATTCAACAGGTGTGATTTTGTTGAGGAAAAAATTAAAATTAGAAGCATAACTGGTGCATGTCAGAATCGTTTGTCTCTAAAAATAGCTTTCTTTCCAGTACAAACTTGCTTTAAAACAATAGTTTCTTGTCTTATTTATCCAGATTCATTTTTATTTTATCAAAGGGGATGAAAAATAAGCATAATAATCAGTTTTAATAGCTTTTGCATTACCAGTTATTTTTTTATGGTGGTAAAATTTAGTGATATATAGTAATATATCTGCTTATCCTTTTCAGTTGACTGAACAAAGGGTACATTCACATCGCGCAGGCTTACCTGCAGCAAGTGTGCATCCAAAAACTTGTCCACCGACAAGAAAAAGAAATGCAATGAAGTGGAGCAGATGCTCTAAAGTAAGCCCGCTTGGTTAAGCACATAGATGAGAAGTTGCAGCTCGGGAGCTGAATGATCAGGTACTGCATTTCATGGGAATTGATCCCAGAGATATTACACACTCAACGCAGATGCAACGGCTGAAAGCATAAGCCTCTTTGTGCTGAAGCACTAGAAGCTAGAAGTAATCCAGTCCAAAAAAAAAAATGCTAGAAAAAAAAAGCAGGGAAAGATGAAGCATTTTCACTTCATTGAGATTTTCCATAACATTCATGTTTTACTGTTTCTGAGTGAAATGAATCATTGAGGTTTGCAGGATCGAGTCTTTTTCTGTCAGAGGGTCTGCACCTGCACTGGGAAGAGCAGGGACAGATGCTCGGCACCTCGGATCGGGAGTTTATGCGTGGTGTAATAGTGGACGGCCTCAGGAATGGTGTCAAAGGGTGGGCTGTTCTGTCCCAGCACGTACTTCCCATCTTTACACTGTGAGAACTTCATGTGCATAAAACCCTGGCAGCTCCTGTGAAGAGGAAAGTATGAAAAGAAATTTGACAAATGAGTGGATGGCAACTAATAAAAGAAAAAAAAAACACCATAAAAAAGAACAGGGAGGGAAAAGAAGACGCATGAAATGAAATTTGGAGCAGCCTAACATCACACAGCCTTCCACACATTTGGTCCCAAGACGGTATGTGTGAGCAATCGTCTGGATTTATGTTCGCTTTGTATTTCACTCTGGGAACATGAATCCAACAAAAACCTAATAACACTGACACAAATTGGGATGAGAGGGTTTTTGTTTGATGGATGAATGGTGTAATAAGACATTAAAAAAAAACAACAACAAAAACTCTAAGAGAAAAAGAAGACTGCAGACACTGGAAGTGGCTATGCTGAGAGCCACACCTTCCCTTTAAAATCCATACAGCCTTGAAAGAACTGCTACTTTAATAGTTTTTCAGCCAGCTGTGATGCATGTCTAATTATAGCAGCAAAGCAAAAGACACAAGCTGGAGCTGGTCAGCAGAAGTGTCATCTTATAGGGAATAAAATATTGAAAACATTTCCAGTAAACATTGTCCAGCAAGCCTTTAAGGATCATTTCAATACTTTGTTAAGACTTGTGTAATTAAAAAGGCAGTATTGTACCAGTTCTTTCAGACTGCCGTACCTCTTTCACCCTATCTCAATAAAATCACCTCCAACAGTCAATTAAGCTATTCTTCAGATTTTTTGTAACATTGAATACAGGTATGGGCCATTTTTTCAAAGCCATAATAAAAAAAATATGTCAAAAACATTGTTATACAGCACGTGTTTGCAGAATAAACTTTGTTTAGGTTGTTTTAGACACATGCTCTTGTAATATAGTTTTATTGACGGGATAGTTGCAGAGGTATTTATAATAAGATAAACATGAAGGCAGTTAAAACATGGTAAACAATTACAACTTTAAATATAATTTAACGACTCCCCAATTAGGGAAATGAGCACATTTACTTCTCTCACCATCAAACACATAATGCAGATTACTTAAATCCTTTGCTACAGGACTTACCTCCAATGTTGATGTGATATTCCACGGTATATAGAGGTTAAAGAGTTTATTTATTTTTTTTATATATATATATATATATATACACATTTTATTCTCTCTTCAATAAGGGCACACTAACATGGCTACTCAGTTAATATCCTTTAACTTATATAATTTGTATTGGGGTAAAAAAAAGCAACTATGTCAGTATTTTCCCCACATTGTGATTTTAATAATAGATCTAATAATTAAGTTTCTAGCAAATAATTAGTAGCTTCATACAATGTCATTTATATCCTGAAAAATTAGACTGTCATTTTCACTCTACACAGTATTGTTTCAATCTGCTAACACTCCTCTGGATGATCCAAGGGTTGCCAATATGGCAAAAATATGAACTATTTTAGAATAAAATAATCATACATTTCCTATACTTTTCGATTTAAAGAAAATACAGTTATGGAAAATACAAGGGGGCCAATAAACATTCCTGAACAGTTGGTGTAATTATGCCCGCTTCTGTTACGTACAACTGATAGTTAGCATTTAATGCTTGAAGAACCCTCAGTCTGGGATTCTTTAGCAAAGATAAAAAATGTAATAATTTAAACAAGAATTCTAACAACATTCAGATAAAGAGTGCTATTGTAGTGCAAAAAAATGTATATATACATTTTAAATGTCTCTGCTTTTGGAGGAGATTCACACATTCTAATACAGCATGTTTCAATATATTCTCATTAATTACTCTTTTGTTCAGTGCATATAGATTTGGCAGAGAAACTAATGAGCACAAAGAATATTTCCAAGTGTAGTAATAAAAGTGCATGACAACAAGTCATGGCGTTTTTGAAAATTAGGCTGTTTAGGAAAAAGGAAAGTAGCAATCTTTCTTGGTTACAAGACTGAACCAGAGGCGGTTAAAAAAAAGTTTCCTGTTTAGATGTGTTCCTGCTTTGCTCTTTTATTTAACTACAGATGGTTTTAATTTTCTCACATAAATTTAAAAAATATTTTCAATTACACAGTACATCTTTTATCTTTCCTGATGAGGTTGAGAACTTTTTTAACCCAACAGTATTTCTTCTGCTTTAGAAAAAAATCATTCAACAGTTACTAGGGTTCACAGATCTTGATAAATTCACCTCTTCAAGACTCTAGAGTGCTTGTTTGGGAAAAGTCTCAGTGCTGACCTTGATGTCTAGGCAAACATGCATGTGTATGTGTGCATGTCAAAAACCCTCCACTTATTCAAATGAGTAATGCATGAGCTTGTTTTTTATGTCAGCACGACACAGTGACTCCACTCCCCTCGTTCCCATTCTATCCTATTCCCTGCCTAATTCCCTTCTTGGGTGTCCCACAGAAGGTAATTCATATTCATTAGTGATTATGTGGAGGATGATGTGTGCACTGAAGTGTGCTCTACCTGACTGATTACCACTTAGACGGCCCGCTGGGGCTACAGAGGAAGGCCACTGAGGGGCAGATCAAGGATGCTGAGAGGACAGAGTGATGAGGGGAGACCGGTGCGAGGCCGGCACAATGGATCACGATTGTAATTACAAGGGAGAGATTTGACCAGATAAGCAGTATTGTGCCTTGCGCGCAGACATCAGTAGTGGAATCAGTGTAGCAGTGATGTTAAATGAAGGTGATAGTAGATGGGAGAAGAAAGAGCGAGAGACAGAAGGAGAGGTGTTGGAAAATGCAATATGAGATGAGGAGCTATGACATCTGCCCTCATACATAGACACAATACAAAAAATGATAATGCACAGTTACAGTGTGCAGACTGATGATCCACAATGCAAGGCGTTTAACATGCTCGTGATTTTAGGTGCGTCTTACCTTAGGGACAGAGAGAAGTCTGAGCGGTTCTGACTGTTCCTCACCAGGTAGCTGCACTCTTTACACAGTGTTAGCAGTGACTCTGCCTCCGAGCGCGACAGAGAGCCGTGGTACCATCTGTTACAGCATACACAAGCAACAACAATAAGACACCAATGCAGTTATATGATAAACAAAACATATCAGTAGTCAGCACTGATGAATGTGAAACCTATGGTGTTATCTGTGCCCTAGGTTTACTTTCGCTTAAAAAAAAAATTATTCATAGCCTATGCTAAATAACAGTTTGTTCCCTAATGGATTTTAGTGGGATGATCCTAACCTGGCATAGGCCAGATTTATCTGTGTAGTACAATCTAAACTCTACATCTGGAAAGGCTTCTATGGAAAGTGTTCACAAAAGGGAGGGAGATTCAGTACAATTCTTCCATCACAGCTGCTCGATTTGTTTCACAAAGTTAACTGACAAATCAAACTCTTAACAAATCCGATCAGGAAGAACGCCCAAACATCTTTCCCATCCACAAAGGCACACATCACATCTTTTTTCAAAAAGAAATAGAGGGTATTCCAGCAAAAACTGATTCAGCAATTTTGTTTTGAATTCAGCCTTCCGCCTCTGGTCGACTTAATACACGTCACTGAAACATTTCTGTATCGAGGCCAATGCATCTGTTGGCTTCTGGAAAGATGTTGTTTAGAGGAGTCAAATCCGGCGACCATTTGTCTTGCTGGCAAGGTTAGCGGGATCCTGGATTGATTTTACAATTTCATCACAGATAAAAATCTATTAAAAGAATACGCAAGTGTGAAAATGTCAACAACCCTGCACTGTTTTGTGTTGAATCATGTGCAATCGCAATCAAATAAATATTCTTGCTGGAACTGGTCAAAATGTTCAAAGAAGTTTTACATTGCACGCTAAATTGTTACAACAACCAAAACAAGAAGTTTTCACAGATGACTGAGGAAGACATGCCTACCACAGGTTTACAATTATGTTTTACTGATTAAAACTCTGAAACCACTAAGCTCCAAACAGCCCCAAAGTGATTATAACGGAGCAACGGAGCATGGCAACTCCTCACATGAATATGTTCACATGACCACATGCAGTGTGTCTGAATTTACATGTGTGCTTAAGGGCTGTTATACTCAGGAGTTTCATTAGGAAAACTGCTCTTCATGAGCACTGAGACAGCACATAAATTACACCAATGATGTTTGAAATTGAGACCAAGGTAAATGTGTTTCTTGAATGCTCTGACTTAATTAGTGAACGTTCAAACCTCTCCCTACTCTGCTTAGTTGAAACCTGAACAGCTTCATTTGAATTTGTTCAAGCCCATAATAGATCAAAGCAGAGCAATAAAAGTCTCTTGGCTTTTAATGGGATTCTTTCCACCGCCGTGTCTGTCCTTACACGTTCATGACCACTTTTAAATACAATCTATTAAATAGATTCATGAAAGCAATGAAGAGACATTAGAACCTTCTCTAAGTGAAATTGCATACATTTATACCGGCATTAACAGCTTGTATTAGGTTACTAGTTGCAAAGAAGGACCTTGAAAAGATGAGCAGTAAGGGGTTTGCAGCGCCCCGGAAAGTTTTAACAGCACTGTTTTTTTTTTTGTTTTTTTTATCAAAATGAGTCATTTGACCCAAGATGTTTCCAACTTTTTTCTTCTACACATGTTAAAGAAAAAGCTTTTCTAATCATTTTTATCCTTTATAGTCTTTCGGTCAAAACTTCTTTTTATAACAACATGTTTAAATTAATTTAGTTTTATCTGTGAAAATATAGATGACTTTGGCCCAATTAAGAAGTGTACACAGAAGATATGAGTTGTGCATGTTGTTGATTTTTTTTTTGTCTTTAATAAATGATAAAATAAGCCATTTGCAATAAGCATTTAATTGAATAACAAAATTTTGCCATTAGGAGGTGTGCACCTTTCCATTAATATTAACAGCTGGGGTTGGGTAATCCCTAATCTTACCACATCAGGGTTGTGAAAACCAGCAAGCAAGTAAAACTATTATAAATGGACCCAGTTCAAGGGTTTCTGTATCATGTGTCCCAGGGTTGGATGTCCGGTTTAACCCACCGTCGCTATATTTGATCCGGAGTTCATTTCCATAAATAATGAATTTACCTAAATACATAAAAAAATCCTGTAGTGCTTTTAATCCTTTTACTGCAATTGAGACATTTAGTTAAACCTTTTTAACTTTGATACTAACGAGGATACAGAGTCATTAAGCTCTCATGCAAAATAAAATCACATCATGTGTCTTGCACCTACAAAAAGTTGTAAACAACAACATTCGTAATCCTCCTGGAAAATGTTGCTCACTCTGAATCAGTAAATGGGGAAGTTTATTACAAGTAAGGTTTCTGTATTCTCTGTGCCTCAGCTGTCTCACCCTCCCAAAAATGTTCCAGAGAGGAAGAACTCCCATTGAACTCCATTTAACCCATTAGCTGCGGCTCCCAGGTTCTTCAAAACTCCACTTCTGATTGGTTGAAAAAGCTCAGTTGAGCTCATTTGGGCGAAGACATCAGTCCTGGTAAAAGAGTAGCTCTAGGTTTGTTTTCAGCATTCCATGTTACACCCTGATGTATATTTTCTTTTATGATAAAAGTTCTGTGAGACACTATTTTTTATGTTTTAAAATCCTTTTTAGAGGACCCTGTGCATCATTAACCATAAATCAAATCCAAAGCAAAGAGCTCCCAGGCACCCATCATCTGAGGAGGCTCTGTCCTTTCTGAAAGTGACCTACAGAGGCTGACAGAAGCAGTTTTTTAGTCTGAGTACAGATATGTCTCTGAGCTACAGACAAATGTAATGGAATAGCATATTAATGGGGAATAGGCAGGTCTGTAAGCAAAAAAGACGACAACATGTGTTCAACCCAAAAGGTGTTTTGTCCTTGTCCTTTAAAAATCAAACCAGTTCTTTTGTGGTGCGTAAACTCCTGTTCTAAACTTCTCCCTTAGATTAAAATGATTTCAAATGAGCACTAAAAACAAACTTCTTGTCATCTGACTGTAAAATGGACTTAGCTTTTATATAAAGGTGTTTTGTCTTTTGGGCGGAGCGGGTAGCACTGCTGCCTTGCAGCAAGAAGGTTCTGGGTTGGATGTCCGGCCCGGGGTCTTTCTGCATGGAGTTTACATGTTCTCCCTGAGCAAGCGTGGGTTCTCTCCGGGTACTCCGGCTTCCTCCCAAAAACATGACTGTTGGGTTAATTGGCTTCTCTAAATTCTCCTTATAGTGTGTGTGTGTGAATGGTTGTTTGTCCTGTTTATATCTGTTTTGCCATGCGATGGACTGGCG